GTTGGCTCCCTCTGCTTTGAGGTTTTGTCTTAAGATGTAAGCTCTCAGCTACTGCTTCAGCACTATGCCTGCCTTCCTGCTGCCAAGCTCTCTACCAAGACGGTCATGGATGCTAACCCTCTGAAACTGTAAGCCCCAAACAAACACTTGCTCTGTGAGTTATCTTGGGCATGATGTCTTACCACAGCAATAGAAAAGTAACTAAGACAAATGAAACAGTGAGCTCCATGCTCGGTGAAAGACCGTCTCAAAACAAAGTGGAGAGGGATAGAAGTAGACACCCAATGTCAGCCTCTGGCCTCCTCACGCATACTCAAGGGCAAGTGCACCTGCACACACTTGTGCAGGCACACAGGCATACACCCCCCATACACACACACACAAAACAACTACAATGCATTAGTCGGTTGAGAATAATATTCAAGTCGACATAATAATGTAAACTCTGAATGTCAACTTAATGAATGTTTAAAGGCAAGAATCAGAGGGGACAGCAGTTTAAGACATTTATTCCTCATTGCCCCAAATAGAAAATTCAATAATTCATGTAATCAATGCATTGAAATATAGCAGCACACATACTAGAGAGATATGGAAGCGAAAAGAAAGAGCTAAAGCCTGTTGTGGTCCATTGTTTCTAAGAAGAAAGGCTGGGACTCAGGGACATAGAAATGCCACAACACTGTTAGGAGCCTTTCAAAAATTTCTCTCACAATCTAAAAGCAATGATCATTATTTTTCTTAAATTCCCCAACCCTGACCCTTTGCGGTTGACAGTGAAATGATGAGGCTAGGCAGCAGCAATTCTGCCTTGACCCTGGTCACCTGTGTTCATCTTGCCCTAGGGGTCTCTCATTCATTACTGCTGCCACTAAGAGGGTGCCCCCCTGCCCCGCAGCAGCCCACTCTCCTTTCACATAAGGCTTTGCTATGGAAATGGGTCCTTGGCCTTAATCTCAAGAAGTGTGTCTAAGGAGAGCAGAGAATGGTGAAAGTCTCCATCCTCCTCAAAACAAGAATGGAGAAGGAACAAGAGGACACTCCCTTGGCTAGCTCCTCCCTCTACTGGTGTGCCCCAGCCTTCCAATCCCCCCTTCCCAGTTCATCCTGTCCAGCTCCTGCCCACCATTTAGGGTTTTCCTCATTCTCTATATCTAGCCTCCCTCAAGTCTGAATGTTTAACAGTAGGGTCTATAGCTTCTCCCTGGCTACCTTTGCCACTCCTGCTTCCTGGTTAATGGCTTTCTTTTTTTCTCCATGACTAGCACCATGCCTTTGGGGGAAGCTACCCTTCATTGTGCCCAACTTGGAAGCCAATGAAAAATCCCTATTGTTTACATAGGAGATATCCATAGACAGAAACAGGAGGATAAAACTAGACATGGTTACTGCTATAATCCAAGAACTAGAGAGGCTGAGACAAGGGTATCAGTGAGCTTGTGGCCAGCCTGGCCTATAGAATGAGAAAATTGAAAGGCAGCAGGCGAGGAAGAGGGAGACAAGGGCTGGTGGCTACCTGGTATGGTGGTTTGAATGAGAAATGGTCCCCAAAGGTTCATACGTTTGAATGCTTAGCCAACAGAAGGTGGAACTGTTTGGGAAGGATCAAGAGGTGTTGCTGGAGGAGGTGTGTCACTGGGAGGGTGAGTTTTGAAGTTAACAAACTCACACTATTCCCAGTTAGGCTCTCTCCCTGCCTCTTGGTGGTGTCTCAACGTGTAAGCTCTCAGCTACTGCTCCAGGGCCATGCCTGCTTTCCTGCTGCCATGCTCTCCACCATGATGGTCATAGACTCCCTCTGACACTGTAGGCACCAATAAACTTTCTTCTGTAGAGTGCCTTGGTTATGGTGTCTTTTCACAGCAATATAAAAGTAACTAAGACCTAGCATGTTTGAGGCCAGAGTTCTATGTCCAACATCATCCAAATAAAACCAGAGAATGAGAGAAGGGGACCTTGACCTTTGGATAAGGTATTAAACATATCAACCTTAGTTTTCTCACCTGTAAAATGGGGGTGATCACATCTGTTCCAATCCCAGAGGGCTCTCAAAACAATCCAGCTGTGTAGCCTGGAGAGCCATTCAAACATGAACTAGTATTATTACCATTAGCCCTGTGTGTGTGTGGTGTGTGTGTGTGTGTGTGTGTGTGTGTGTGTGTGTGTGTGTAGATGCACTTGCCCACACATGTGAATGTGGAGGCCAGAAAATGACATCAGGGGTCTTCCTCAACCACCCTCTACGTTTTGAGGCAATGTCTATCACTCAACCTGGCACTTGGCATTTCGACTAGGCTGAATGACCGGCAAGCTCCCAGCATCTTCCTGCCTCTACACCTCTGTCCCTCAATACTGATGCCAGCGTATTGGGTGCTGGGGATCTGAACTGGGGTCCCCATGCTTACGCAGCAAGCACTTTACCCACTGAGCTATCTGTCTCCCCACCTCAGCCATGATCACTTTGGAAGATAGCAGGCTACAGTCTCATGATTACTTGGGGACCCATGTGCTGAAATGAAAAGCTGGCCCCTTGGTCACCTTGTGTCCCCTGTGAAGCACTGGGTTCCAGCAGGCTGGTCTATTATCCAACGTAGAGCCATGCCAGCTGCCCCGCCCAGAGTAGCAGTCGCCCGGGGCACAGACCTCACTCAGTGCCTCAGGCAAATGGCTCTGAGCACCTGTGCCACTTCCCTTCATAAACCCAAATCGCTCACTAATGCTCCTCAGCTCCTTTCATCCGAATGGAAACAGCCGTTGTTCTTATTGGATTGTAGATGAATCACTTGGAAAATATTTTGGGGCACATTATAGAGGCAATAACATAAAAGTAACCTGGAAAATGGTTCTGTTTTGTTTTCTACTTTGCAAACCCAAACTGGAGCCTGGGGTTGTATTCCAGATTTTTGTCTCTTTTTTTAACAGAAGTATTTTTTGCTTACTTCCTCTTCATGCTGGCAAAGGAGACAGGTGACTCTCTCCCTGGTTAGGAGGGACACCCTTCACGGCATCCCCAGCAGGAAGGGCTGGGTGAGAGCAGACAGACCCACACCCCAGGCTTTAGGTCTGTAAAAGGTGACTGAAAAAAGGACAACACTGGTCTCAGCCTTTCCTGGAGACAGACATGAGGACACCGATCTGAGGCAGGCAAGCAGGCACAACTGACTCTCCACAAGACAGCAGGACTGTCTCTCTAGAGAGAGTATATGTCTTAGCTGGGAATGCTCAGTGGCCAGATACCTACCTTTTGGGATACTTCCCATCTATCCCTATTCTTGAGGCAGAAGACTGGGGCCATTGCCCTTTGAAAAGCCCAACAGTATGCCTGCCAGACACTCAAGACGAGTCACATCAATCCAGAAACCCACTTGCAATATAGTGCCATGATCATGTCTCTTGGTAGGACATATGGGTTCGATAGTGTGGCCAGGGCCATCTTTCTCTGCCCTAGAGGCCACCGTCTCCCCATTATCTCCCCTGTTCAGGAAGTACTGGCCTCTTCTTCATGCTGTCTTCCTGTCAGTCCTGGCACTCAGAACCTCCAACCTGTCTTTTCTGACTCTAGCAGAGAAATCCCCACTCTGCAGGCCCAACACTGGAGCTTTCTGAGCCTCTGTCCCAGCAGTGAGCACTTCAAAACCCTTAAGGTAAGAGTCGAGGTGGTGACTTTTAGAAAGGGGGGGCTGGGAGGAGAGGAGAGGGCAGAAACTGTGGCTGGGATGTAAAATAAATTTAAAAAAAATAAAGAATGGAGATGAGGCCCTAGAAAAATCCCCCTCAATTGATATCAACAATTAGGAATTAACTACCCTACCTCTTATTCGGAAAACAGAACGTGCACTCCAAGGGAGCTTAGAGCCTGTTGGAATAGTTAAGAGTGCACTGCTCTGTGCCACCCTCCTCCTACTCTGCAGAGTCCAAACAGCACACGTTGACACAACGTGGTCATAAAGTGAGCTTGAAACCTTACTGTGCCCCCACCCCCACTGGAATATCATTGTGAACTTAGGTGAGGCTTCAGGCCCTCCTAGGTGGGAGGGAATTTGAAGTTAAATCTTGTCTGGACTCCCCTGAGCCATCACCCCAAGCCAACAAAAGCTCACCTCTATCAAGGGGTCTCTTAAAATCCCTGCAGCTTAAGGTCTAAAATTGCTCACTAAATACCCTCTCAAATGAAGGGGCTTTCGGCCTTTTCATTTGTGAAGTAAAATCTGAGGCCTGGGGTAATAAGGAAAGAATAGCCCAGTCTGAAGGAGTGAACCGCAAATCCAGGACGCCATTGGCCAGACCTTGATGGAAAATTTAACCTCAGTGGCCCGGCTCTGATCTTTATCATCAAAAATGACACTTCCTTGCAACAACACAGATGATGCAAAGTAAACACAGCCAGCTTAAGCAAGGAGGCAAGATCAGCCTTGGTGTCTCAACTTTCTCCTCTGTTTCCTGTCTTGCTTTTTCATTCCCCTTAGGAAAAGATGGCTGTGTCCACTCCCTACCAGCTAATGTGCTGTTAGTTAAGTTTTCTCATGTGGCCAGATATTACCTCTGAATCGTAAGTGCAAAGAGTGAGATGTTGAGAGGCGCCAGGGCGGCAGGTGTAATTAATGAGATGAGCCTTCAACCAGCCCCTGCTTTTCTGCTGGGTCTCATTAACTGCTGCTGCACTGCCCTGCCTGGGAGGCCTCGCCCAACCCTCCCTCCCCACTGGCTGATCTCTATTGTACTTCTTACTATCCTGGATCTGCTAAATGCTTTATATTCCGTTTGCCAACGCCGGAATGATTCAGAACAAGATTGGGTTATTACAAATTCAGGAGGCACTACACACACACGGCTGTCATGTTTCAGTTACCCTTTCTCTTGGTTTAATAAAATTTGCCACACTAACACAAAGCCATCTTTTATCGTTCCCCTGCTGTTGTAACAACTTGTCCGGCTTCCCTCCTGCTAATTAAAGGAGGAGACCGACCACGCAGCCGCTCATTGTAAAGTGGGTTTCCGGGTAACCTGTCAATATCTTCGTAGTCACTTAGCTCTGGGTCCTATGGTCCTTTAGCCACCCGCTCCTCCATGATTGGAGCCCTAATGAGGTCGGCAGCTGGTGGCGACATGGCAGGCATGCCCCGCGTGGCGCGCTGGTGGGATGGCAGACGCAAGCAGTCCCCAGAGGTAGGATGACGCGGGCTCCGCAGCCTGTCCTCCCACGCTGCCCCAGCCGGCCCTGACTTGCTTGCGACAGACTCACCAGCAAAGGGTCCCCCAACGCAAGAGCGAGCAGCGGGAGCTGGGAGGTGGGCGGTGAGGCGGGACCCCCGCCCCCAGGATTACCGGAAAGAGGAGGCAGTGGGTACCAAGGAAGCAGGGAGGGGAGACCAGCGAAGCTGTGCACAGAGCCGCCCTTGTGCGAAGTCCTGAGCCGAGTCCAATCAGCCCGCTCCCGGAAAGCCCACGCGCCACTCTCCAGCCCACTCGGGGGCCTCGAGGCGCCCCAGGCCGCGGGGGCGGTGCGTCTACATCGGGTACATCTGCCCGGGCTAATTGCCTCACTACAGCCCGGGACACCGCCCTTTAGAGGGACCAGGGAGGGTTCATTAGCATTCCCTGCAACCACTGCCTGGGCGATCTGAGTCGGTCAGGAGCTACCCTCACCCCTAACTGGGACTGCCAGGACTAAGGGAAGCTCCAACATTGGGGTGAGGCAGGAGTATGTCCATCGGTGGCACCTATGTCTCTAAGGCCCAACTGTGTGCTTGGAGCTTCAGTCTGGGGGAACCTTCGGCTACCGGGGCAGGCATAGTTCAAGGTCAAGGTCAAGCCCGAGGTGCTGGGGAAGGCGAAGCCTAGGGATCCCCTAATTAGCTTGCAGTAGTGGCCCCCTCCAGGACCAGCTCGGCCGCAGGGATTCCTGGGCCAAATCCCCTTACGAGAACACTAATAAGTTTACAAATGGAAGCCGCTGGCGCCTCTTGCAATAAAAGGCAGAAGCTCCGCTCTAGCGCTTCAATGGGAGCATTTTCCCCCTTAACAAGGGGTTGGATTCAGCTGCCTGGTGCTGTCTGGGCAGGGCGAGTTGCCGGAGTAACCAAGGCCTACCGCACACCAAAGGCTGGGAGACAGAGCTGGCTGCAGGCTCCAGGACTCGCCTAGGTGTCAGTACACCCAGATCCTACAATGCCCTTCTTCTGGGCATTCCTCTTAGGCATCTCCCTCCCAACCCAGTCTCCCTAAACAGAATCCCTGATCCAATCTCAAGCTTCTACTAGGCTTCTATGAAATGCTCCAGACACATCCCCAGATCCCTGCAGGCCAACTAGGAAGCACACACTGCATGCTCAGGGTACTCAGAGCAGCCTGGGGGAATGAGTGACCCCCAGGACTGGTAAGAGGGAAAGGAAAGCCCATAGGACTCAATTCTATGCTTGAACAAGAGGTGCCCTGTCTTCTTCCAGAAGGGCATGGGGGAAATTCAGGTTCAGAGGACCAGCTGGAAAACACACTCACCCCACTGGTTACTTCAAAACCCTAGGTGCTGTTTTGTTCCAAGCCTTAACCTAACTTGGTCCAAAACTCGACATTCAGACCTCGCCAAGCCTAATAGCCTGAGTTCAATTACCAGGACCCTTGTAGTGGAAGGAGAGAACAGACTCCCATAAGCTATCTTCTGACCTCCACACATTCACTGTGCAAATTTGTGTCCTCCTCCCCCGCATAAATAAATAAACAAATGTAATTTTTAAAAACTTCAAGTTCACATTTCACACCCCCTCAAAAAAATTAAAATTTCATTTCACTTTGATTTCCTCTCAAGGACACTAAAATACAGAGATCTCTTAACTCCTTTTACAAGTTCACTGCTGATCATTGGAGTATATCTAAATCCCAGAAGTTGTATTTTAGGATTCAGGAAACTTGGACTATGGAGGAGTCTAGAAACACACACACACACACACACAAATGCATATACCTCAGAATCCCAGAGTGCCTGTCTTGAAGCTAGCCTGAAGCTAGGCTGAAGGCTTCCCAATGGCTGCCTCCTAAAGGGCCTTATCTATTAACCTAGGAGAAGCTATACTCAGAAGTAATATCACTAGCCAGCAGACGCTAGACCACACCAGCATTGTTCATGTCTAAAACAGAAAGACTTTATTTTCTTCGCAGCTGACAAAAGGAGCCCTTTCCCAAGTTGTGCCCAAGCAGTGGAGAGGTATACTTCACCTACCCGGCTCCTGGGAGCCAGGCCAGCCAGGTGTCTGCCTGATAGCTCCACAGTCTCTCTCATGCACGCACCCCTGCTTTCCACAGCCCAGAGGTCACAGTGCATGCACACAGCGTGCCTACTAACACTGGGCAGCTGGTCCCTGGCTACCCACTCTGCCCCCCCTCAAGCCGTGGGTCTTCCCTTCTCCCCACACGATACCCTCATCCCTCGTTCTGTCGACTGACTTTCTAACGCTCAGATTGCTCACAGCTGCAGCCACACACATTTCTCATTAATGTCTGCAGCAGACCTGTAGCTCTCTACTTCCTGTCAACTGAAGCCATGCTACCCCCTCCACCAGTCAGTCCCCTTTTGTAAAAACCTAATATGCAGGATGCTCAGTGACTGAATGATGTTTCCTGCCCACCCCCAACTGCACCCTGGCTTCATTTGGCCTCCTTGTCTGGCCTACACACAAGTCCTCCCTCACTTCTAGGTGTTTAGAGAAGCAGGTGTTTCTCCAGTTCCACAATACTCTAGCTCTCTCCTTTCCCCCTCGTTCTAGCATATCCTTCCAGTTCGTGCACCGCCGCCTCCAGGAAGCCTTCCTGCTTCCTTGCCACTCATCCTCGGCTGAGTCAGCCCCTTGTCTTGGTCCATTTTACATTGTTCACCTGGTGCAGGATAATGAATGAATAAAGAAAAGATTCTTTGGGGCTTGTGATTATTGGAGGTCATGACTACAAGACTAAAGGGTCCACTTGGTCACCAATGAGAGCTTTCTGGCTACTTCTGAATGAAGCCATGGTATGGTGTGTAAGGAACATCGGTGAGCACGTAGAGGCCTGGGTGAAGAGCAAAGGGCCTGGAGGCTAAAGGGCCAAGCTCTCTCTTCTTACAACAGTCCGCTCTGCCAAGAGCAATGTCCTCCTGCCACATCTAACTGACTCCATGAGACCAACATGAGGACAGTTAGGACCCCGTTACTTCCCATCCCACCTGGAGACAGGCAGGGGACCTCCACCCCACTGGGGGACCACAGGCAGGGGACTGCCAGTCTGCTTACTCCCTCTCAGATACTTTGCAGTTTTACCTTTAATTCCTCTAAGCAGACAAGATTTATGGCCCACTTGACAGAAATATTTAATTTTCCAAAAGTCTATTATTCAAAAGCCGTGGAAATCTCCAGCTCCGCCATTCCCACATTAATACCCACCTCGGGCTCAGGCTCGGACTCCATAAAGCTCTTCCCAGTAGCATGGAAAGGGAAGGAAGAGAATGAGGGCTTTGGCAGAGGAAGGGCCCATAGAACATTCCTCACAGAGTTCAGGCCGTCCTGACACTCTTCCTCAAGTCAAACAAGAATGCTTTTTATTAACAGAACTCACGGCTTGCTATGTGTGAGGGTTAATCGTCACTCGAAACACAACTGGATTAAGAATCACCCAGGAGTTACACTCCTGGATGTGTTTGTGAGGGTGCTTCCAGAAACTGCTTTAACTGAGGAGGCAAGGCCCCCCCAAACGTGGGTGGTACTGTTCCGTGGACTGAGGACCTGAACTATAGAAAACAGAGGAAGTGAGCTGAGCACCAGGGTTTATCTGTCTGCTTCCTGATGGAGAACATGGTGTCCAGTCACCTAAGCTGTTGCCACCACAGTGAGTCATGTTCCTTCTTAAGCCATGAGCCAAAACAGGCTCTGCCCTCCTTAAGTTGCTTTTGTTAAGTGTGTTGCCATAGCATGAGTAAAGTACCTAATATATACTGTGCCAAGCAGTGTGTGTGCGTGTGTGTGTGTGTGTGTGTGTGTGTGTGTGTGTGTGTGTGTGTGTGTGTGTGTGTGTGTGGTATCATTCCTCAGGCCATCGTCACCTTGTTTTTTGAAAACAATGTTTCTCACTAGCTTGAAACTAATGAAGTTGGCTAGGCCAGCTGGCCAGCAAATCCCAGGAACCCTCTAGTCTCTGCCTCCCCAGCAGGGGAGTTACAACATTCAGATACTGGCACATTCAGATCTGACTGACTGAGCCATGTCTCCAGGCCTGTGGTAATTTTAATAGGCATGGTTTAATTTAATCCTTAGAGCCCGGTGAAGTAGCCATTATGACGACCCCATTGTGTAGGTGGATGAGGGAACGAAGGCACAGAGAAAGCTAAGGTCACCGGGCTGCTGGAGCTGACATTAGACCCCCAACATGACTAACTCCAACTCCTCAGCCGTCATGGAGTCTCTCCTGTACCATGTTAACACTCTTCCTAATGCTAACAACAGTACCAAACTCTGTTTAATTCCACATCTCACTGTTCAGCAGATTCACTGATACATTCACGTGCGATGTGTCCCTGCCACACGCGTCGCCTGGCTGTGTGCCTGGCATAGCAAAGGCAAGGCCCCTTGCCTACCAAGATCTTCAAACCTGTTTGAAAACGGAGGTTTCTATGCAAAACAGTGCAGTGGCCCACAGAGGAGGCAGAGAGGCTACACCAGCCACTGAAGGGTGCAGCTGTCTCCAGACAAACGGGAAACAAAGAGTTCTGAACAAACAAGGGGACCTTCTTGGGCCTCTCTCTCAGCCAGCCCCTCTTGTACTGGTGCAGAGCTGATTCTGTTTACACGAGCTCAGCTCTCAGCACGGGAGAGGGCAGAGCAAGCTTCCTGGCAGAGATAAGAGGCAACTGTTAAGGAGAAGGGAAGAGGAAATGGAGGAAAGTGGATGAAGAACTCAAAAAGCTCAGCAGCGGTTTCAGGCATCTGGTGCAGGGGGGGAAACAGAATACCCTCCTAGCCTGGGGGAAGCTCCCCACCAGAGCACAGGATAGCAGCCCATGCTGATGTTAGAGCCCTAAATGATGAAAATGTGATCAAGGGGCTCCCTGCCTGCTGCTTAAGAGTGTCTAGGGGTCCCTTCCTTCCCCTGTCCGTTTAAACAAACACATTTCATTGAGTTAGGCAAAACCCCTATTTTAATTTCTGCTGTCTCATATGTTTTTGAAATGCAGATAAAAGTAGAATTAAAATGTAAGTAAGCACCCTAGCTGGTCAGCAGCTACTGGTGTCCCTCATGTACAGGGATGGATTGTCTGTTCAGTGTCAGTACAGGTACCCAGCATGAGGACCCATCATTACTGGGTCAACATGGAGTGTTAGCATCCTCATGTCTCATTCACCCACAGACAAGGAGGCAGGGAAGCTAGGGAATCTAGGTCCCTCCAAGGCTAGTTCTAGGGCTAAGGACTTCATCTCTCCAGCTCCATGGAGGGCAAATGTAGGGATAATTGCCATCACCAAGCCAGGAAGCTTTTGCTGTGCCATTAGCTCCCATCCCTCCTTTCCCAGAAGGCATTCTCACCAGAGTCGTAGCAGCCAATCCCAGGTAATAAGATCCAAAGTTGCTCATGTCCTCTTACCTGGCTTCTGTCTAGGACAATGACAGGAAAAGTAAACACAGCAGAAAAAATGAAGGTCTACCAGCATCCCAGTGGGAAAGCCTTACTTTAGTCTCCAAAGGCAAACGCTCACAGGGAATGGGCCAAAGCAAGGTGGGAAGCATCTGAGTGGACATCCTGGGAAAGTCACACATGTGGGGAAAAGGGACCAGTCAAAGAAACACACCCAGAGCAGAGCCAAAGAAACACTTCAGCCCTGCAACCAGAACCAAAGAAATGTCCCTGACCTTGAAACCAGTGCCAAAGAAACACACTTTGTCCCTGGAATCAGAGTCAGTGAAAGAAACCAAATCTGACCCTAACCCTGTGTAGAAAACTAGCCAATCCCTGAACAGGAGAGATCTAAGCTCAGGGATTGAAATCTGACCAATCTCCACCCGGGAAAACTTCACCCCCTAAGAAGCCCTATATAAACCCTGTGTCTGTTCAGCTTGTGGCTGTTCGTGCTACCTGGCTGTCTGTCCTCTGCCACTCCTGGATTCTTCCCTCCCAATAAACCCCTTCAATGAGCTTCAGGTGAAGAACTTCTTTTGCAGCAGAGCAGAGGTGACCCTGGGCAGAGCAGAGCGAGCAGGGCTGTAACACTTTTGCCGGAGAAACCTTCCCCTGGCAGTCTGCTCTCCACTCTCCAGGGAGCACGATTGAACTATAGCAACTTCAGCTTCGCCCAGGAAACCTTCTTCTGCCTGAGCAAAACTGCTACACTGGGCAAACACCCCCAGCTGGAAGACCTTCTCCTGCGGAGCAGAGCGGATACACTGGGGAAGCCTTTCCCTGAGGCAGGGCTGTAAGCTGCTCCACTTACTGAGGCCTATGGCAGTCCTTGGCTCCCGAGCTCCAGGATACCTTTCCACCTGAGCTGTGTAACACTCAGTATTCTGTGACTCCCAAGTGCCAGAATACCTGTCCCATCCCATCTGTCGAAATGCTTACAGCACAGTGTCAAGAAGATGACTCTTTGCTCAGTTTCTGAGTATGTCCCAAAGGTTCCCTGAACCATGTCAACTGAATACATACAATGCTACCCGTGTGCAGAATTATGCTAGCCTTCAATTTTATTAGCAGACATTAATTGTGTAACACAACTAGTTTCATTTTGACACTTTCACACCCAGATACAGTGTACTTTGATCATGTCCCCCTCACACCTCTCTCTCCTCCTCTTGCCTCCTTCCTCTCTGCAAACAGCCCCCTCTTTTTAAATTACTTTTCACACTGTGCACTTGTCACAGCACACAGGTGGAGGTCAAAGGACAACTTGAAGAGCTGAGTTCTCCAGATTGAACTCGATCCTCGGGCTTGGCTGCACACTCCCCAGACGTCTACTGTCCTGTTTGGGTTGTTTATCTAGGTTCCCTATATGTAGGGAAATGAGGTATTTGTCTCTCTGGGTCTGGCTTATTACACGATGCTCTCCAGATCCATCCATTTTCCTGCAAATGGCTTCTTCTGTGCGGCTGCGTAGCACAGCGCCCTCTACGCACACCCCACCCGTTCACCTTCTAGAACTTCTGTTCAGTGCAAATGGTACCATATCAGCATGGCCGTCTGAGCAGAGCATATCCCTGGAGTTCGCAGTGTCCTTCACATGGGAGGGGGATGGGGGGGATGAACCAGAGTACTCACACAGGCTTACCTTGCTTAATCTCCCAGCAGCCCTCGAAGGAAGTCATCTCCTTCAGACACATAAGGACATCGAGGCTCAGAGAGGCCTAAGTAACTGGTTCACAGTTGCCCAGCTGGTAAGTGTCGAAACAGATTCTGTTCGAGGCCTGTTGGCTCTGACGCTAAGGACCACAGCTGAGCCTTCTTGATGTCACCACCAGCAAAAGGGCAGAGAAAGAGAGCCAGGCCTCTCAGATGGCAGATCTGGAGAGGAGGAGGAAGACCCTTCTGCCTCTAGGAGAGAAGGTTCCTCATGTGGGCTGCTATTTCAAGGGCTGACTCTCATGATGAATGTGCTCTGGGCACATACGAAATGTAATACATCTTGATTTAGTGAAGCGCTTGATAGGTCGCCTGATGAAATTTTACTTGCAAAATTAATTCAGATTGTCTTGTCTGGGTACTGCCGTCACATAGACAGCAGACAAGCTGGAAAGTATACACAAGTAGTCAGGAAAAGACACTCTGAGGGGTAGTGCTGCGGCCCCGGAAGCAAGCACAGCCCCATGGAACGCTCAGACATCAGCAAGCATTGCTTTTCTTGCCCCTGATGCACCAGAAGCATAGCTTGTAGCAAGAAGGCGTCAGTCTGGATGTAAGACCACACAACAGGGAAGGGATAAGAAAGGGGAGGGCGGGGCAGGATGAGCTCACAGGGCCTCTGCAGGCTCCGAATTCTATGGGATGCAATGAGAGAAGGTGAGGCAGCAGCTGAGTCCCCCGACTGCTCATTGAGGAAGCTCAGAGAACAGCCACCCATCCCAGTCAGGACATGTGAGCCTCAGCCAGGCCTGCTCTCCATAAGGTTACAAGTTGGGGTCTTCTGTGGGCATGAGGAGCTGGGCAGTCAGCTCATAGGGAATGTCCACTAATCACAGCCAGGACAGTGAACCCCTGCCCAATGCCAGGAGGCCGGGGCCTTGGTAAGGGATAACATGGGAAGAGGAGCCGAGGAGGAAAAGTCAGCCCAGCACACAGAGTTGACTAAACTGACACAGGAGGAGGGAACATGACTGCCATTCATGATTAACGAAGGAGGGAGAGGAAATGAATTACTGTAATTACAAACCCATGGAGCATGGTTTAAAACAAAAGTGTTCCTCTCGTGTATCCACAGGAGAGAACATAATACTTTTTAAAAAGTTTTAAAAATTTGCTTAAAATTTTTATACTTGCAAATAACGCATTTTATCAAACCCATCCCCTTTCCCTCCCCTCCAACCTCTCTCCTGTCCCCCACCACTTGGCCTTTTCCTTCTCCACTTTCTTTTATGCTTCCTATGTGTGCATGAATGTAGGACCATCTAACTGGAGCATGGGTAGCCTCTCCGGACCTGTATCCCTAAAGAAAACTGATTCTCCCTCCCCCGGAAGCCATCAGTCACCAACAGCTCCCCACTTAGGGGTCGGAACTCATGAGCCCCCCATGCCAGGGTCTTCATTGGCTTGTAGGCCTTGTGCATACAGTCACAGACAGTGTGTCTTGGCACAAAGATAAGAACTTGGGAGGCAGTTTATTGCTATGTTTATTTAGCAGAATAATAGTATTAGGCTCTGCCCTAGGCCTGTGACCCAGCAGCCACATGCTTTTGGAACCAGTGACTGGTACCAGTCATGAGTTCCGTCTTATAGATCAGGCTTTGAGTCAGATCAGAAAGCGGTTGGTGACTCCTATAACATTCATGTTACTAAGACACCAGTCAACAAATCTTACCCAGCCAGTCCTAAAGCGAATGGTGAGGCAATGCCCATTCCCAAAACAGGTGTCACCTACTGGATGTCAAGGAGTCTAGAGACAGAGAGAGACTTAGGATGAGCCAAAGAATAAGCAAATTGATCAAATCTGCCCAGGCTCTTTATGGAGCTGGTGGGGGATCAGTGGAATTGACTGAGGGGTTGGAGTCTGATTAGTCACACAGACTTGGTGTTACCCTCGTAAAAAGGACTTGATATGGCTTGCATTCTGAGTTCAATCTGGCTGTCATGTAACAAGTGGAGGGAAGCAGAGAGAATGGGGTGGTTTGGACTAAAAGGAAGCCGACAGATGGGGAACAGTGATTAGAGTACACGTGTATTTTGAAGGTAGAACAAACAGGGTTGTTGGGGGAGTTACAGAGAGCATTGTGCACTGGGACATAAATTCTCGTGTCTGAGTCGTTACTCTGAAGACTTGGTGGTAAGGAGGTTTCCAGGCATACCCACCCTCTCCTTAGTTATAAATGTGTCCAAACATTTTGACACTGTGCCAGGAGGTGATCATCTACAAAATCCATATTCAAGGCACTAGAGAAATGGCTCAGGGGTGGGGAGGGATGGGGAGGAGGGGAGGGAGAGGGAGCTGGGATTGGCATGTGAAACAAGCTTGTTTCTAACTTAAATTTTTAAAAAAGGAAGAAAAAAATTAATTAATGCTCAAGAACCATACAACCAAGTTACAAAAAGAACTATAGTGGCAGAATCCTTTAATTCCAGCACTCAGGAGGCAGAGGCAGGCAGACTTCTGTGTGCTCCTGGCCAGACTGGTCTACAGAGCAAGTTTCAGCCCAGCCAGGGCTATATAGTGAGATCCTGTCTTGATAAATAAATTAATAATAAATGCAATAGTGTTTTAAGTAAGTTTACTGTTTGTATTATGCAGCAGTCATAGACATCTTGGGCCACAGGTTAGATATGACTGGACCTTGACCTTGACCCTTTGCCTTCTAATTATGTGATCACTCGCTTCAACTGCAAAACCCCAACAAGACCTGAAAACATTTGGCTCTGACAACTTGTCTTAAACAGACAAGACTGCACAAAAAACAAACAGAAATATGATTTGTACATGGTAGGAAACTGCCAAGTCAATGCCACTGTTGCCTAAGTCAAGTCCATGGCAAAGCAATTTTTTTCTTTCTTTTTTTTTTTTTTTGTTTGTTTCTTCGAGACAGGATTTTTCTGTGTAGCTTTGGAGCCTGTCCTGCAACTCACTCTGTAGACCAGGCTGGCTTCAAACTCACAGAGATCCGCCTGCCTCTGCCTCCTGGGTTTAAAGGCATGTGCTACCACCGCCTGGCTGGCAAAGCAATTGTTTATTGTCTCCAAGACAAACAGCCCAGCATGATCAGTGGCATCGATAAATATGGCAATGGGAAGCATCCCAAAGCCTTGCCCAGTGACAGGTAAAAGCAACTTGCACACTGTGTGTCATGCACAGCTTCCCCCAAGAGCAGGGAAAGGAGGCCAGGGAGCAGAGGGCAGGCAAGCCTGGCCTCTCCTTCTGTTTTGCTTCCTAGGCTATGGGTGCTTATCAACTTCATGAACAGGATACCAAAGTTCCCAGAAGTAGTTTGTCAGGAAAGGGTAGGTGGGCCAGAGAGGAGAGGCTCTAAACTGTGTACATCTGGGAGTAGCCTTGACCCAGCATGGGTTTTACTGGGAGAAGATAGGGAAGTGTGAGTCTCAGCTTAGTGAATCTATCCAAGCTTGATGCAAATCAGACTTGGAGAAGCAGACAGTGTTAGTGCTAAGGGCTTTTTCACTTTTCATTCAGGCCTGGTGGTCTCACTGTGACTTCTGGGTCACCAACCAATAATGAGAGCTCCCACGCCTATTGAATAACCAAGAAGCCACTTGCTGGAATTTTGAAATGGAGCCCCAACAGCAGAAGAAAAGCCAGGCCTTCTGGGGTTCGTGTCCTGTTTGTAAGAGATAGCATGAGGTTGTGGAACAATAGGCAGACAGTGCAGTCTGCATACCTGCAGGAAATGAGAACAGCATCAGTGGCTCTGAGAGACCCCTCATATCTCACTCACTGGCTCCAGCATGGACAGAATGGGGTCTGAGGTCAACTTGCCGCACTGTACCAGTGGTGAGAGTGTGGCTAGAAACCCAGAGAAGGAGGGTGGAGCCCGTGCAGAGCCTACAAGTTTGGGAGATGCCGCTGCTCGCCACAGAGAATGGATGCTGAGGATGCTCAGATGCCAGAAGTCTAACGCTGGGGAAAGTTGTAAAGAATAATTCACCCCACCACCAACCATTCATGGCTGTTTCAGAATGTAAACAGATTCTGCCAATGGTATCTTGGGCACACCAACTTGTCAGGTGATATTTCTGTGGGCCCATTTGGCTCTGACCTGAGTGCTTCTAAACTTGCATAGTTACACTCATCTCCTTTTTACATTCTTAGAGCTTTATGGGTGCCTACAGCAAAGGGCGTTCTCTCTCTCTCTCTCTCTCTCTCTCTCTCTCTCTCTCTCTCTCTCTCTCTCTCTCTCTCTCTCTCTCTCTCTCTGTGTGTGTGTGTGTGTGTGTGTGTGTGTGTGCATTACCATTATGGAAAATGGAAGCATCCTTCCTAGCTGTGGCTGCCCCTCCTCCAAACCCGTCTATGTTTCGAAGCTTGACTTTGCGCCTTGCACCTTTAGGTTCTGCCCCCGCCCTTCCTGCACTCTGTCCGCATGCAGAGCACACAGTCCACTTTCCTGGGCAGCGGGAAGTCTCACGAGGCCGGCAATTACAGTTACTCAGCCTGAGCGAGGCTCAGCAGCATCTCAGTCCTCACTCCCAGCCTGTTCTCTGACCTCTTTAACATCTTCCTTTGCCGGGCTCACACACTCGTGCTCCAGGCTCTGGGGAAGCCATGTGCTGTTTACTGGCTCAGGACATAACCCTGAGCCTGGGTCAGGCCTTCTCTTCCCTACGGCCTCTTAGAAAATTAGCCAGTTTCTCATTCTCTGGGCAGGTCAGGTTCATCCAGGGCCAAACACTTCCCCCTCTACTTTTCCAATCTTCAGCCTCTCCCCACCAGCTCTCTGACTGTGTTTTTCCCTAGCTCTCCAGTGGCCTCTAATTATCCAATGTAACCTCTCAGGATTCCTTGGAAGTGATCAACAGGGCAGCCACCCCTCTGCAGTAAGCCGCTCCTTCATCCCATCACCAGCCACCCCTACACCTCTCCTGGTTTTACCTAGGCTTGTCCTGGAAACACTGAGTCGCAGAGTTTGGCCACTGGCCCTGGTCTTTTTACTGCATAGACTTTCTCTAGGTAAGACAAGCTCTTGGACCCTGCCTATCTGTTGGAGGTGCCGAGACCCTATTTCCAGCCCCATTTCTTCCTGGGAGGGACTTGGGTGTGCACCAGGATGGTGTGCCAGAGTCTTGTTTGATAGACAAATCCCAGCCCTCTGGCCCTTCCTCCTGCCTGCTTTGCATCCCCTGCTCACAGCCCAAGTCAACCTTGACCCCACCCGCCACCCTGCAGTGCCTTCGCCAACAATGGAAATTTTCTAGAGAAATCACAAGCCACGCTGGCTTTGTGCTCTTCTAACACAGTCACGGGTCCCCACAGGTCCCTCGATAACGCTGTGACACCCCACACACTGATCCCAGTAAAGCTATCACTCAGGTCTCTCCGTTAGTCATGCCTCCTTCCTCCAGGCTCCCCAACACTCAACTCAGAGTCTCCGCTCTTAATCTGTTAGGGAAACAAGCAGACAAGAACTTCTGCCACCTCCACAGGCATCCTTCCTACTGCCTCGGTCTTCCTCCACCCAGGGTGGGGCTGCTCCCAGGTAAGGCTAGCCCTCCTGTTCTCTGAAACCCAGCACTTCATTTTCTCACACCCCCACACCCCCTCCCTCCTGAGCTAGAAATTTCCCCCCACTCTGCTGGGTTCAGCCATCCCATACACTCTTGTTCTGCCACCTCTGCAGGAGGCCCTTGTCTGGCCTGGTGGTACAGGGCTGTAATCTCGGCTACTCAGAAAGTTGAGGCACGATGATCCTAGGCCACAAGTTCAAGGCTAACCAGAGCAATTTAACAAGGCTCTGGCTCAAAGGAATAATAAAGAGCTGAGGACATAGCTCAACCTTAGGACACTTGCATAGGATATGAAAGGTGTGAGTTCAACCCTAGTACCACAAAAATAACTGAGTAGTAAGTGTATAAGCAAGTAAAAGGTGACTGGCCCCAGACCCCCCCCCAGCCAGCTTTTTCATTTACTCCCTCTTGACTGCAGCGTCTGAGCCCATGCTACTCTCCCCACTTACCCCTCAGTCACCCCAGTTCCACCAGCGATCGTGAATGACTGCCGCACTGCCAGATCCCATAGACAAAGGCGGTTCTCTTTAATGTGCTCCCCTCCAGACCCAGAACCCCACGGGCTTCTCCTTTCTCCCACAGGGCACATACCTCTGGGCTAGACTACCCTTCCTACATGCCCATTGCTGGCCTCTCCACCTCTATTGGACTGAGCCAGGCAGAGTTCAAGACCCTATTCCGAGCCCTCTTCTCTTCAGTACTTGCCTTCCCTTAGTCACTGATGACCCCCAGATTCGTCTCCTGCCTTGAACTTCTATCTGAACAAGAGACTGACAGTCAAGTGCTGCCTTGGTCTTTCTTCTTAGTTCTCTAATCAATGCCTGTTCAGCAGAGAACTCTTGGCCTTCAGTGAATTTATTCTCTAAGCTCTGCTCTTCAACCATCTTGCCGACAGGACCATCCCCCTCCAAGCTCCTAGAGCCAACGCTCTGTCTTTTCCCCTGGAAGTCTTGGTGCTACTGCATCCCAAATACCCCAGGACTGCAGTATCTGTCCCATGACCATGACCACTCATGTCCCAACCCTTCTTCCCCTGCCTGAGTGATTATGACAACTTCCTGAGTGGTCTCCCACTTCCCCTGTCACACTGATAGCTCATTTTCCTTGTGGCAGCTTACCGTGATGGCTTAGAAATATAAATGTGACCTTGGCATTCCCCTGCTCAGAATCTTAAGGTGGCTTTTTACTGCACTTAGAACCAAGCCCATTTCAACTGACAGAGAAGCCAACTCAAACTGGGTTAGGTGATAAGAACTAATTTGCTGAGAGTGAAATGGTTTGGCGGTCAGCCTCACATCTTCATACCTCAGTATCCAGCAGGCCGTTTTTCTGAGTGGTCACCAAGCTAGCACCGGTCCCAGTACTCACTCGCAGACTCACTCTCTGTTTAGCGGGGTCCCTCATCTCTCTCTTCATTGCAGCAGCTGCCGCCTCTCCCAGCACCTCCTCCAACCCTGGGTCTGTCAGCTGCTGGCAAGCAGACTCCTCAGCCTTCCTAGTCTTGTCCTGACTCCCTCTGGGGGCTAAGCAGCTGTGCTCCAGGTGGGCGCGCTGACGAGGCCTCCTACCCATCAATACTGCTACGTGCCCTCTTAAAGGTCAGTGGCCTCTAACAGGCGTTGCTCTATACCCTCTGTAGGTATCACCGTTTAGGTGAGTCCATGTTGGCTTTTAGAAGCCCCCACCATGGTTTGAGTGGAGAAGGGGCACGCTACTTTTGATAAGAAACATGAAGGAAATAGAGTATATCTCTGGGTCCCATCGTTGACTGAGATGATGAAGTGACAAAGAGGGAAACACTGGGCCGGGTGCCATGCACCAAGCCTGAGAAGTGTCCACTCCCTGCCCCACCCCTGTGTGCCCAAAGGACACTATATGTTCTCCCACTTTCTGGGATAGGTATGTCCCTAGCAACAGTGCTTCCCATGCAAGGGCCTTCTCTCTCCTACACATCTGGCCACCTCTGCCAGGGCCTTCTGATAAATCTCTTGGACCAGAGGATCCAGGCTCTCATCTGTACTGGTGGTCCCAAGGTCCAGCCTCTGCTCTGGGATGTTTCGCTCTGGAGTTCTTGTTCCCATGGTGACACTTCTCTCTGCACCCTCCCATTGCCATCACATCAAAAGGTTATGCCATTCTTTCTCCTAAAACCCTATGCTTAGGGTCCCCCACAAAGCCGTCGTCTCTGGGAACGCCAGCATCAAGGCATGCCTCCTGTCTTCCTGTCTTCCTATGCTACCACGCCTTCCCCGCAGCCGCTCCTGGTCTTGGGAATCCTCATCTTCTGCCTGTGTCTCCGCCTAAGAAAATCTACTTACCAATCATAGCTCGGCTCAGATGGCCCCTGAACCCTCCCACACCTCCCCCAACTCAGAATGAAAGACCTTTAGGAGGCATTCATGGTGTCCCCTTCACCCTCCACTCCTCTAGGAAGCCCTTACAGCATGGCCTGGCCTGGAGAGTGCTTCAGACAGTGGGAGCTCAGAGAGACTGCAGTATGGGTCTCAGGATCCAGAAGGCCTGCTCTGTGATTCAGTCTGAACTACCTCCCCAAACCAGTCCCGTGTGACCATGAACCTGGGCTCCCATGCTTGAGTTTCCCTATGGTCTGTCCCCTGTGAACAGCAGCCCCTATGTGTGCACCTCACCCAGACAGAGCCTCGCCCACCCTGGCAGTCGCCCAACAGCCTCGGATGCATTTATCCCACTAATGAGAGTTTCTTAAAGCCCTAACAAGGCCCTTTCCACCAAGAAGGTTCAGCAACAGATTCCTATAAAGCATAAATTCAGTCTATTAAAGCCAGATTTTAGCACATTAGGAGACCCATGGGGAGGGGCCTGGATTTACCAAACACCAGGCAGTTGCTGTCATTTAATTAAAAAATAGTAATGAGGAGCTCCTGTAATTTCTGGTCTCTCATTAAGAAAGTTTTTTTTCCTTTCCTGATTTCCCATGTCAGATGTTGCTTCGGAAAAAGACAAGTTTTGGTCAGGACAAAAGCTACTGAATGGCTGCAAATGAGAAGAAGCCTTTCTTGCCTGGCTCACCCACTCCTGTCTCCCAGCAAGGACTCTGTTTTCTTGTCTGATCCCTTCCCTAGCTATATTTGAAGATTCCTGCCCACACAGACATCCAGAATCTGACCAAGCTCTGCTGCCTGTCCCCATATTGTTTGTCCTTCACCCAAACTGCCACTTGTTGTAGTGTCCATGTGCCAGGATCTAGACACACAAAGGCTGGAAGAAAAGACTGCGTACTTGGGGACTGGCCAGGCTGGCCAGAAGGATGCTAAGGACCACAGAGAGGCAAGCCCAGGACATCCTGGAGACAGAGAAGAGGAGCATGTTGGGGTCTCTCTGAAAAACTCCTTTAAACAAGGCTTTATTAAGAAGATGGGCATACAGCCAGGCTTTGGTGGTACACACCACCACTTAGGAGGCAAAAACAGGCAGATTTCTATGAGTTCAATGCCAGCCTGGTCTACAGAATAAGTTCCAGGACAGCTAGGGCTGTTATACAGAGAAACCCTGTCTCAAAAAAGAAGAAGAAGATGGAGGAGGAAAAAGAGGAGGAAGAGGAAGAAGAATATAAAGAAGAAGCAGGCATGGAACTGGGTCCCTAGATTGGTGGAAAAGAGAGGGAAAGTGACTTGGGTAAATGGGGACAACCTGTCCAAAGGGACTGAGGCATGTACAGACAAGCACAGAGGGAATTCTGCCACAGTGCAAAAACGTTAAGTGTCAGGGCAGGGTACCAGGGCCCTGTGTGTGAGAGGTTGAGCTGGACAGTTAGTGGCACCTAACCCAACCCACCCTCAAAGGTGAGTGGATTAGAGGGATCAAAACATAGTTGGCTCCTCTAACAAATTAGCACTTCTCTTCTCAAGTGTCCATTTCCATCATCGTCCCTGGAAGCCTGAAGTTGCATCGTCACCACTAATTCTGTGCTAAATCCTAGTAGCTACACAGTGGGGAGTTGACATTACAAGGCAGTGGGCAAGGAAGTCTGTGACTCAGAAAGTTCTAAGAAAGATGCTGGGTCAGTCTCCAGGAGACAGGAATGCAGGCTCAGAATCTTTGTCCCCAGCTGAGCAGGTGCAGTCACTTATGTCCCCTCAGCATGTACCATTCCAGAAAATAAAACATCCAAACTGAGCAATACTCCCCTGGCTTCTGTGGACACATGGAGGTTTAGCCCACCTTCCCTGCGTGCTGAGAGCTACAAATAGGGCTGGGATGGAGACCACCCAAGGCGGACCAAGGCTGGCCAAACTATAAGATCTGATAAGGGTCCTGACTCCCCTACACACTGGTCCCCCCTACTGGATGCAGCCCCAAAGGGCCCCTGCTAGGAAGTAGAGGCACTACACCTGAGGGACAGCCACAAAGGCCAAGAACTCTTGGTCGCGGCAGCAGGGACACCCAAGGAGACACAGCCTTGCAGTAACACTGAGGAAGACCCTCAACTCCCACCTTGAGTCTCAGTAGCTTTCTCAGCCTTCACAAATCCTGAGTCCAAGGCCTCCGGGGGGCCAGTTGTGATCCAGGAGGTCTTGAAAGTCGTAGGCCCTGACTCACAATTACAACCAAGATTCCCAGAGCCCACAGCAAGTAAGACTCAGGAAATGGGCTGAATTCCCTCCACTCCTCCCTATCAGAATTCACACATGAATGAGGCTAAGAGCCTGGGCCCTGGAGTCCAAGTGTTCAGTAATTCACTCAACTCCTCTGCTTTCCTTACAAGTGAAAAGAAATTTTACATTGTGTGGTTAAGAACCCTTGATATCTTGCAAAAGACCTGGGTTCAACTCCCAGAACCTTCATGACAGCTCACTGATGTCTGCAACTCCAGTGCCAGGGAGCCGACACCCTCTTCTAGCATATGAGGGCACCTTGCATAGACTCTGGGGCACACATACACATGTAAAAAACAAATAAATCTTAAAAATAAAAACTATGAGTGAGGCATAGTCAACCCACAGTGTTTCAAAGCCCTTAGCATCCTGCTTGCTGCACAGCGACTGCTCAGTACATGTAGTTACCGTCGTTATTGACAATTTCGTATGTGCTGGGTTGTAAGCACTTTCCATCACCTTACATTTGCCCTGCTGTGTTTTAGGGCAGATGACATTATCATATAATAATGAAAATTTTGTCTTAAGAAAACAACCTTCAATAAGTTAATTTAATGTAGCTTTAGGCCAAAGAAACTTCAGAGGACTGGTGGTGCTGGGTGAGCAGACCTTCATCTCTGGTTCTGCTGCAAAGTCTTCTTGAAAGACACACAGAGGACTGCTGGAGCCAGTGGCTCAGAAGATGGGGCCTGCAGCTCAACTGGGGCAGTGCTTGCCTAGTATGCTGGGTCATCCCCAGACGTTGTGGCCACACAGCCATAATCCCAGAACTCAGGAGGTAGACGGGAGAGGACTCAGAGTTCAGGGTTATCCCCTGCTACACAGAGTTCAAGACCCACTTATGCTGCATGAGATTCTGTTTTAGAAGAAAAAGAAGAAGGAGAAGGAGGGGAAGAAGACAAGCAGACAGAGCCCAGAACCAGAAAGCAGCTAGCTGGTCTAATGGCTGGCCACACCAGGTCTGAACCATCTCAGGCTCTGTGAAAACTCCTAGGGCCACAGGGAGGGTGAGGGGAGATAATGACATCTCAGCTTCAGATGTAGACCACACCCGTAGGGTCCTGGCCCTGCTCTGAATAATTGAAGGACCTGGAGTCATCCGCGCATCTGTCTTACTGCCTGTTTCACCATTCCCCAGCCAGAGGGAACAAAAATCCACCAGCACAGGGCTGTTGTGGCAGTGCCCCAGCCAATGTCATTCTGGGCACCGTGTTTGTGCTCACAAAACTTCACCCCTCTCTGCCCCAGCTCGCCAGTAGCCTCTGAGAAGTCCCTTGGCAAAAAAGGGACTGCTTTGGTGGCTACATGTCCATTGACTCTTCCCAGCCTTCTGTTTCCCAACATGATCACTCACTCCCAGAACAGGACCAAAGCTTTTATGTCACGCAGGGCATCCATCTCTCTTGTTTGTAAATCGAACTTAGCCTGCTCCAACCCCATAGAGATACCCTGGATGTGGGAGAAGAAATGGAAGGACAAATCTCCTAGTTACTGCTGTGCTGAAACTCCTAAGTTTAAAATGAGTATTTCTAACCATGTTATCAAGGTTAAATTGTTATATAGAATGCTGAACATATTTGGTTCATGCCTATAATCCTAGAACTCAAAAGCTGAGATAGGAGAATTGTAAACTCAAAACTAGTGTGTTACATGTGGCAAGTCCCCATCTCAAAACAAAGGGTTTATTTAGTTCACACAACTGAATGAAATGATAGGTTTGGTGATTCACACATATTGGTTAAGCCATCACCGGCCTATAGACATATCTAATACCTCCCCTCATCATTGTTTAGGGGGTAAGCACACAACCTAAGAACGACTTCTTGACATTTCCAAGCGTAGTTGGTCTTGATCAACAAATCAGTGTGATTTAGAATCAGCTCGGAGACACTCCTCTATGAGGGCATGTTAGGGGTTTAACTTGGGTGGGGAAAACCAGCCCTCAGTGTGTGTGGCACCTTCCAAAATGTCTCAGGTAAAGAGCAGACCTCGCCCGCCTGCCTTCCCTCCTTCTCCAGCAAGCGCATCCACCACAGGTACTGTCATCTCCGATGCCATCCGCCACAGGTACTGTCATCTCCGATGCCATCCGCCACAGGTACTGTCATCTCCGATGCCATCTAGCCCCAATTTCATCAGCCTTCCAATCAGACTCAGCACAAGTGACTCCTGTGAGCTCCACGCCTTCCACACCAGTCTGGGGCTGCTGAAGCGCCCAGCTTGGTGGACTGAGTAACTGTGGTGTTCTCTTCGGCATGCTAATGTTACATCCTTTGGGGTTTGTTCCTCCAGAGAGCCCTGCCTAATACCAGCAATGTGGGTGAGAAACATAATAACTGAATAGAAAGGACATAGCTGGAACTTTGTATCCTTTGAACAACACCTTACTACTTCCTCCTCCCCCACCCATACCACCCACCATTCTACTCTCCGCTCTAGGGAGCTATTTAGACTGCACAAGGAAATGACACTGTTAAGTAATTAATTTTCCTTTGCATAGTGTCCTCCAGATTCACTTATGTCACCACAAATTCAAGATGTTCTTTAAGGCTGAGTATTCCATTGCATGCACATGTGACATTTCTTTTGACTCCATTCATGCACTAATGAGCAATATCTCGGCCACTATAGACAATGCTGCTGTGAACACAGGAGAGTAAACATCTCAGGAAATATCTGGAACGCATTTTCTTCCAGTAAATACTGGGTCACATGGTATTCTGTTTTAATTGTCTGATGAACCAATTTGCAGCTCCACCTTCAGTGTGCCAGGGTCCCATCCTTGCCGGCACTTGCCATCTTCTGCCCTTTTAATGCTGGCATGCCAACTGATAGATAGGACACGGTATCTCGCTGAGGTTTTCCTTGCATTTCCTGAGGATTAATTAATTAGTGTCTCTGAACATCTTTTACACACGAGTCAGCCGTTTGCATGTCTTCTCTGGAGAACTGCCCCCTCAGCCCTACTACCTACTCTCCATCTGAGTGTTTGGTTTTTGCTATGGCACTGTGGGAGTCCCTTATGTGTTGGGGATTAAGGCTTTCTCATACTGTCTCGCCCACTCATATTTTCTCTCCCCTCCCGCTCCCACAGACGCATCTTCGCCCACTCAGTTGGACAGAATTCCCCTTGTTCACTTCTGCTATGCTGCCAAAGCTATCGACAGCATACCCCCAGACCACTGCCAGGCCCACTGTCAACCATTTCTTTTGCAGTTCCTAATCCATTTTCAGTTGATTTTGTGCATGATATAAAATACGGGTCTTGGGTCTTGTTCCTTTTTTTTTTTTGCATGCATGCATGCATACATACATTCTGTTTTGCTTTCTGGTACCAGCAATCCAATCCACAGCCGTGTATGACATAGGCAAACACTCCACCACCAAGCCACATCCACAGCACTTGGGTTTTTGTGAGAGAGTCTCAGTCTGTAGCCCAGGTTACCCTGGAACTCTCTGTGTAGGCCAGGCTGACGTCCCACTTCCAGCCCTGCCAGTGTAGAACCTGCAGAGTGCTTAGGATGACAAGTGTCAGCCACCACACCTGACTGTTTCTATGCTAATTCACATTTCCCCAACACCATCTAACTGAGGAGATCATTCTTTCCCCACTGTATGTCCTCAGCACCTCTGTTACCACTAATTGATCACATGTGTGGTTTTGTTTCTGGACTCTGTTCTGTTCCATTCATTTGTGTGTCTGCTTTTATCACTATAGCTTTGTAATGTAATTGAGAATGAGGAAGTGTGACACCCCAGCTTTGTTCTTGCTGCTCAAGATTACATTGACACCTGAAGTCTTTTATGGCTGTCTGAGAATTGTAGGACAATACTAATTCTTCTACTCTCTGAACATAAGATAACCTCCCCACACATTTCGCAACTAAACAGCAGGCACACGACACATCCTGTGTATTCTTTGAAAAGACAGACCTCTTGGAGAATCTGAGGAAAACTGTTGACCTTGTACTCATAATACAAATATTCATGGTTCTATGCAGAGCCCAGGCTTCCCACCATGCTCATCACTAACCCCAGGTGCAAATTCTCCTGAGCATCCTCAGGGAAAAACCTGGAATGCCAACCCTCCCCTCTGCCAGACACTTCAGATGGCTCAGACCCTGCACTCAGTGGCCTGGATTCTGAGTCCCTTACACTCTATATATTAGGACATTTCTCAAATCCAAGCTGCCTGGCCCTTCCTCAGTCACTTACCAGTGCTGTGAACCCTCACTGTGTGGGATCCCTCCTCTAGTCCTGGAGCTCTCCTGAAGGCCTGGGGGTGGCCCTATGGGCACCTTCCTTATCAGTCTTGTCCCATCCATCCTCCACTAGGCCCCCTGTTGCCAGATAGCTCCTTTACCTGTGACAAAGCCTATGCACCACAACAATTCAATTATTTCCAAAGTACCTCTGGAACACACACTGAGAAGGGCTCCGAGGGCCAAGCAGATAGAGTTGCTGACTCCCCATTAGCTGGTCTCCTCTCTCCCCTCCAGGAGCTCCATCAGAACATGAGCC